TAACATTTAGTTATTAGTATCAGTGGTTGTGTATATCTTGTATAGCGTTGTTGCAACCACCATTGAAATAATTATTTCAAAAGTGGTTGAGAGTGCATTTCAATAACATTGGTTGTAACCACTAGCGTGTATGGAGAACATATAGCCCATCGAATTCATATCTTCAAGGAGATGTAGATTGTGTATACCAAGCGTTATATAAAGAAGTGGTGCTCAGTGAACTCAATAAATTTCTTAGATTATGAGTGACTGCGTAATTTAAATAAAATTTTTAAGGTTAATTTATGCTAGACGTGTTTTGTGGTTTATGTTTAATGTTTTTTATTGAATAAAAAAATTGTGATTGATTAAATAACTGTAGAAACAAGTACATGTACTTAAGAGTTAATGCTGTAAAATTATATATTTCAAGGGGTCAGTTTTCTTAGTTTAGGAAAATATAGTTGTTAATGAGGATTTGATTTTGTGGTTGAAGAATTTTTCAGTAATAAGATATGTGAAAAATTTCATTTTGTGGTGGACATTAGAAAATCTGTGATTTCACAGTATTTAAAAGATGTTCAAATATTTTATTGACAATATTTATGTAGTTTTTGAGACCTGGCCTGGGGGCCATAAAACTTAGCTCACTTTTGATCTCAGTCTCACTTTTTCCAAAGGAATTAATAGTGGAAAAGTAAGACTGAGATAAAAAGTGAGCTCGTCTTAGTTTTATGGCCCCCAGACCAGGTATCTCAAAAATCTGTTGGATTTTCATGGGGGCCTTGTCCGTCCGTCCGTCTGTCTGTTACGCGTTACGCTTTGAGAATCTTCATAACATATTGCCATTATGCACCTCCTATTTTACTTTTTGATCCGACACATATTTTGGGTTTTCCATAGCAAAACATGGACTTTGCTATTATCGCCGTATCAGAGGCGGGGGTATCATTTAGTGAGCTCATTGCTCACAGTACCTCTAGTTTACATAGGTTAAATTTATTAATAAATGTGTATATTTTCGTTCAAAGCATATTTTTCAATAAAAATAAACTTAATTCTAAATACTTTTAGACAGTTTCTAGTGACTTACTGAATCTTGTAAATTAATGTAATAAATATGATATCTTCTATATGTAAGCAAAAACAAGGCACGAGCCTTGTTTACATTATGAAGATTTTTAAGTTCTGTAACTCTCTTCTTTGTAAATCAACAAATGATGTTTAATTTTTGCTGATCATCTGAATTACCTTAATTAGGCACTGTAAACAAATTGATTGAAACTGTGTCCATGTTCCTTTAAAGATATCCTAACAACAAAACTTTATGATGCATGCACAAGTAATGACTTTAACTTTTCTATTATCTATTTTCTTTACTTGTGTGGGAGTATACCATTATCACCTGCATATGGAGGTTTATGGTACGCCAAATTCACAAAATGAGCTAAATATATAGTATCATAGTTGATAAACTAGGTTTATCGACTGTAAACTATAGTTTTCAAACCGTGAACAATAGTTAACAATTCATTAACTATAGTTTTCATCTGTAAAACTATATTTAATGGTTGTTAACACAGATGCCCCCGTATAGCAACATAGCAAAGATTAAACTTTTTGTAAGTGAAAATTAAATATGTTGGTACCCAACGTAAGGTCTTCTTACAAGAAATACAATTGTGAAATATGAAAGCCTTAGCACCACATGCTCAAAAAAGTTGGGCTTAGCGCACCCCCCCCCCCCCCCCCCCTCCCCTCCCGACACCTATGATTACTTAACGATTCTTACCTGGAATATTTTTGCAAAAAAGCTTCCTTGCAAAACCCAGGGTGACCAAAAATAACAAAATGAAGATCTAGAAGAAACCAACGAACCATTATAATTCACTGAAAAAGAAAACAAATAATATAGCAGCAATATGCCGAATGCCTTTGTTAAAGAAAGACGTTTATGACAACTTTTAAAATTGTTCAATTGTTCAATTGTTCTTTCAATGTCAGTATTTATGGTATTGGAGATAATTTTTTGAAAAGAAGAACTCAAGTGAAAGATATCTTGAATGAATGTATTAAAATTTCCCTTGATTGAAACTATGAATTCTCGGCATTCCCAAAAAAATCATATTTAAAAACTTATACATGTAAAAGTACCCGGTCGGTAATAGGAAAAAAAACCCAAAACAATAAAAAAAACCTTAATTTGGTCAAAAGTAAAAAAACAAAATATTTACCTTTTATTCCTTTCATTAAATTGACCGCTAGGAGTTAACGTCTCATTCAGTCAATGCTCCAGGTTTATAAGAGGTATACTCAGTACATGTATAGATCTATATCCGTCAAAATTGTATTGAATTTGAACTTATTTAAACGGATCTGTTTAGTATTTATTACATGATTTAGTTATTAGTATATAAATAAATTATACACTGTGTTAATTATCATAAGTGAAATTCACTGGTCTTTAGATCGCTTACAAAAGAATTTTAGGTGTACAAAAATTATAATAAATATCTTTTTATCCACCCCATTTTTTAAAGGTCGGTTTTAAGCGATCGAAAGCCCTGTGATGAAAACAAGCTTATTAAAGAATTGTGGTCCCCCGCTTTCGGTGCCTTTGTGAGTGAGATGTCATGGACTATTGTGACAAATATGAACATCCTATCATGTCATTCAACGGTTATCATCAAAATTGATTTTTTTAAAATTAGATCAAACATAAAGGTAAAGGCCAAGGGTTAAAAAGCTTGGCATGCTCGGAAATATTTTGTCACAGGTAATGCACATATCAAATCTGAAAACTTTATCTCTTCTCAATAAAAGTTATAAGGAAGAAATAAAATTAGTAGGTCAAACGTTAAGGTTATAAGTCACGAAGTAAAACTTCAATGTGTATTTAGAAAGGCCGTGTCACAGGTCGTAAACATTTTTCATATGTAAGTCCTATCTCTTTTTATTCAAAAGTTATGGCCAATTTAGTAATGTTAAAATTTTTGAAAAGTACGTCAGACTTCAAGGCCATGAGGTCAAAATCATAGTGCATATAGAAAGGTCTTGTCACAGGTAATACACTTTTTTAATATTAAAGTCTTATCTATTCTCATTCAAAAGATATGACCAAGATTAAATTTTTTTTTGTCACAGACGTACAGAAGGACAGACGAATTCATGAGTTTTAATGTTCCCTCGCTTTCACGAAAGCAGGGGACAATAACATTAGTAGGGGTGGTTAGGTCTGTTGAACAACAATTTAAAAATGGCTTTTAATTCTCAGTTGCAAATTGTTAACGTTTTCTGTCTTTTTGCTTCCTTTTTTCGTCTAGTGTTGTCTTAAGTTGTACCTTTCCTATGACTGTTCTCCAAAATCTTATAATTATTATACGAATAAACTGTACATACGTGTCGGGTACATACACTTATAGAATCAGGGTTGTGAGGGCTGGACCCCCTTTTTTCAAACATTACTTTTGAAAATGTTCATTGAAAGACCGGTTGTCCCCCACTTTTGCTGCAGCATAGTCAGTTACTAGTACGAGTAATGTAGTAGTTTATGAATAAATTCGTTACTTACGGAAGTTGGGGTCTAACCCAACCCACCCTACCCTGCACGAAATAGAATTTTAAGTTTGAACAATTCCCCATCCCTTTTCATGTCTTGTCATGTTTTTTCCAGGTAAGTTAAAATTTTAATAAGCAAGAAAATATTTTTAAAGTCTTAAACTTTTTCTGAATTTAAGCAAATAAGTCAAAGTTATCTTAAATATTTAGAAATTACATCAAGAGTTGGGGGTATATGATGTGAATTTTCAGATATTACTTTAAAAAAGTGTCAATTTTACGTTAAAGTTGGCTCATTTCTTTCGAGGATTTTCAAAATATATTGACTATATTTGTCACACTTCGCTGAAAAAATTCACAAAAAAATAATTTAATAAATATTTCAGAACCAGCATAACACATTTCACTGCAAAAAAACAGCTTTGTGTGCAACCAGCATGGAAAAATAAGAATCTTAAATTAACAGTACTGTTATAGTTCAAAAGAAAAAACTGATCATTTTCTTCTAAAAAAAAATTCCGCCAAAAACTGTAGTCCCTAGCTTAATTGTTCTTGAATGGAATTTTTTTCATTGAATAGAGTACAATTTGCATTGTAGAATTCAGATTTAATGTTAGAATTTTTAAATGATGCAGAATTTTATAAATGAAGGACAGGACCAAAAATCCCCTAAAAAGCTCAGGATCGAACGTCCTTAAGTATAATTAATTAGTCGATTTGAACTAAGAACTAAGAGATATCCACTAAAAAAGAAAAATATGTTCATTTTTTTATTCTTTATTAAGCACATTAGTATATGAAGAATATGAAGATGGTATATGAAGAATATCGGATAAAGCAGTAAGTTATTGTCGTTATAAAAAAAGTAAAAGAAATATTAATGAAATAACTTTATAATAATGAATAAAAATTAAATTAACACAGATGTTAAAATACTTAAAATAGGCAAACAAATATAACACTTCAAATTAACAAAGTTCATTTTTAAAAATAAATAATTCTGCCTTTGGTTATAATTTGTCAAAAATTAATTCTTTTAAAAAAACCCTCATTCTCTCCAGAAGGCCAGTTCTCTCTGATTTATTCTTTTTGTTTTTCTGCAGAATTTTCTTCTTCTGAAAAAAAATGTGTTTAAAAATGAAACTACAAGTATATATTTTATTAATATAAATCAAAGGCACTACATCAAATCACATGTTTTATATAGCGAAAAAGGTACTCACGGGTAAACAGGATGATCCACAGAGGAATCTGTACCAGACAGGTCGTCTGCCTTGGATTATATTGTCATCATCGAAATCAAAATTTGTCTCTTCCCTTATTACATTCATTCTTTCTTTCTCGTGCTCATCCTTCTCTTTCTCCTTTGTAGTCCGCCCATTAATTCCTTTCTCAGGGTAAGCATCTCCGTTCTCCACTTCCATCTGTATATTAATATATTTTCCTAGGGTTTCCTTCCCTTCCTATACTGCCATCTGTGTGTTGACATCTTTCTCAGAGGTATTCTTCCCTTCCTCCACTGCCATCTCCGTGTTATCATCTTTCTCAGAAGTATCCTTCCTTTCCTCTACTGCCATCTGAGTGTTAACATCTTTCTCAGAAGTATTTTTCCCTTCCTCTACTGCCATCTGTGTGTTAACATCTTTCTCAGAAGAATCCTTCCCTTCCTCTTCTGCCATCTGCGTATAAACATCTTTCTCAGAAGTACCCTTCCCTTCCTCTACTGCTATCTGCGTGTTACCATCTTTCTCAGAAGTATCCTTCCCTTTCTCTACTGCCATCTGTGTGTTAACATCTTTTTCAGAAGTATCCTTCCATTCCTCTTCTGCCATCTGCGTGTTTACATCTTTTTCAAACGTATCCTTCCCTTTGCCTTCTGCAGCGCTTTACAAATATCTTAATGCTTCTTGAGTTCATGTGTAAAAACTTGGCAAGATACATAGATTTATTATGGCCCTTCTTTTACTTCTATAATAAATCTACATACAAATACGCGACAGTATCACTTATCTGGAGAATATACGGACAGCATGTAAATAAAATAGTAAAAAATACAATGTAAACATCGCATCCAATTAGGTTAACGACCTTCTTCATAAATGCAAATAATAGATATTTTTCATTGTACAAAATGTGACTTGATCAACATATCATTGTGTACAAACTGCGTCATTTTTGCGAAATGACGTCACATTGACAAGTGAATTGCTATGGCACGCCAAATTCACAAAAATGAACTAATCATAGTTTCACAGTCGATAAACTAGGTTTATCGGTTCTAAACTATAGTTTACGGATGTAAACTATAGTTAACAACGAAAATCTATGTTTCACAACCGTAAACCATACTTAACACCAAAAACAATCATGTGCGACTGCAAAACATAGTTTATCTGATAAATACAGTTTCATGATTGTAAACTATGGTTTACAACTCTTAACTATAGTTAACGATCGTAAATTATAGTTTACAGACGTGAATCTATGTTTATCAACAAAATCTATTGTTAACGTTTTATTACAGACAGATAAACTAAGATTAGCATTCGTAAACCTTAGTTAATAACCGTTAAATATAGTTTTACAGATGAAAACTATACTTAACGAATTGTAAACTATAGTTCACGATTTGTAAACTATAGTTTACAGTCGCTATGTTTAGCACGCCAAATTCACAAAAATGAGCTAATCATAGTTTCACAGTCGATAAACTAGGTTTATCGGTTGTAAACTATAGTTTACGGACTATTAACTAAAGTTTACAACGTTAATCTATATTTTACATTTGTAAACTATAGTTAACGCGATAATCTATGTTTCACAACCATAAATTATACTTAACACCAAAAACAATCATTTGCGATCGCAAAACATAGATTATCTGATAAATACAGTTTCACGATTTGTAAACTATGGTTTACAACTCTTAACTATAGTTAACGATCGTAAATTATAGTTTATAAACGTGAATCTATGTTTATCAACAAAATCTATTGTTAACGTTTTATTACAGACAGATAAACTTAGATTAGCATTCGTAAACCTTAGTTAACAACCGTTAAATATAGTTTTACAGATGAAAACTATACTTAACGAATCGTTAACTATAGTTTACGGTTTGTAAACTATAGTTTACAGTCGATAAACCTAGTTTATCAATTGTGAAACTAGGTTTAGCTCATTTTTGTGAATTTGGCGCGCCATACATTGCGATCGATGAGTCGTTTATTGCAGCCCGGAGGACCGGGCTGCTCTATACATATAAGTTTAAGTGTTGGTAAATGGGGACTGAGGTGGGAGAAGTTATTCAGAATTAAAGGTTTTCTAAATATGAAAAAGATTTTTAATCGGAATGTTCTTTCCCTTTATAAATTAAGAGATACACATTACCCTACTTACAGAAAGTGAATCTGTAAAAATATGTATGTTTTTCATATTTAATATATAAAGTTGCTTATCATTTAGTATCGAAAAAAGGACAGGTCCCTTTTTTTAGAACATTGAATTTTACTCATCGCATAAAAACCGGCGTACTCTATACACAGTTTAATATTCTTAAAGTGAAATACATTTTTGAAAATAGGTGATGCATATGTCTGGTTTCAATTTATATTTTATGCAGCCAACATTTATTCAGAAATTGATGAGGTTTAAAAGGGTATAGTTTTTGTTCTATTTTCATCTGACTATAGGTTTTCAAAATATTTTCGACTATTGTCTCCATCATTTAGACGCATGCCTTTTTCACACAAATCGAAGCTGTTTGATGATCAAGACTCATTTCCATTTACTTTAAATTTTTTTCCCGGGCGACAATTGATGGTTACATGTACATCAATGTTTCTTGTATTTTGTTGTGTGGGATTTAACAAACGACAAAACTACATTCAATATTAAGTTTTGATGTAGTCTAGAGCTATGCAGCAGTTTAAAATAGCAAATTAGCTCATTTTGTGGCAATTTGAAGACCTTATTTTGTGTGACGTCATAGTAAATATTTCCCGTATAAATTAGGCCCGCCTCCTTACTGTAACCTTAACTGTGCTGCGAATTTTAAAACTTTTCTTCTTCTTTTTTTCATGTACTCTATCGAAGAAGGGAAGGCATAATGCTTTGCTGATTTGTTAGGCGGTCTATTCACCAACAGTTTCCGTTCTGTTTCTTCACAGAGGTTGCTTTTACTGACAAATAATTTGGTATAAAGATTTATCATACAAGCACCCAGGTCAAGTTCTAACTGGGGTACTGTCGACCAATTTTTGACAGAATTATTCCTCTTGGACTTAGAAAATTTCCAATTATTTACAATTTCCGTTCATTTTCTTCGCAGAGGTTGCACATACTGAATGAAATTTGTAACAAAGATTTATCATGTTTTGTTTGGGTACGATCTTTGACAGAGTTATGTCTCTTGGATTTATGAAAATTCCAATTATTTGCAGTTTCCGTTCATTTCATTATGAGATTCAGTATACAGATTCATCATAACAATATCTAGATCAAATTCTCTTTTAGGTAAGAAGAAGCAATTGCTGTCAGCGTTATGCTTTTTCAATTTAGAAAAATTCCAATCGCTGGGGAAGAGGGGTTACTGTTTCATAAACATCACTTGTTCGGCTTGAATTTTGTATGATCAGATTGCTAGTTGTATATCCATTTAGTAGATAGTTTGTAATTCAAATATGCAACTTAAACAAAACTTATACGAAATTGCTCCTTTTCTGAAGTATTAAGAATAAAGTTAAAATTTGTGAAAGTGCAAGGATATGTTAATCTAAAGCGTCCCGAAATTCGTAGATTAAAATAATTTCCAGGGATTTTTTTTCTGTGGAATGCTTTATCAACATATACCTCGTGATATTATACAAAAAATTTGAGAAAATATTATGTTCCATCCGTGGCTAAGCACCTTAAAGAACCTATATGTATGAAATTTTACTTGTATTTTATAATTTGTCTAGATTTCATGTATCAACGTGTGTTCTATGTGCTTTTCCTGAATCCTGAATTAAAAAACAAACTAACAAAAGTTTGGTCACGTCCTCGTTCAAGAGGCGATAATTCAGAAATAGTGAAAATGTGGTAATATCTTCTCAAAAAAAAAAAACCTTGGCAAAAATATATAGAAAAATCATAGAAAACCTTTTAAACATGTTTTTTTAAGAAAATGTAGAGGAATAAGTCATTTTGAAAATTCTTTGAAAAATTTCTGTTCAAGAACAGCAAAACCATTACTGATATCGATATTGAAACATCCTAAAAAGGTAAAATTTAAGTTTGTCCCTCTCTTATATAAACTTTTCATTTCTGTATTGATTTGTGCTTTCAGTGAGCTTTTCTGATCAAAATCTGGCCATTGTCTGTCGTTGTTGTTGTTGTCGTTGTAAACTTTTCACATTTTCATCTTCTTCTCAAGAACCACTGGACCAATTTCAACCAAACTTGCCACAAAGTATAGGTGAAGGGAAGTAGTCTTTTTTTCAAATGAAGTGCCGCGCTCTCCTCCAAGGGGAGATAATAATGAATTAGTGAAAAAGTAATGGCATCTTTTAAAAATCTTCTTCTCAAGAACCACTGGGCCAGGAAAGATGAAACTCATGTGGAAGCATCCCCAGGTAGTCCATATTCAAGTTCAAATCATGACCTCGGGGGTAGGGTGGGGTCACAATTGGGGATCAAATTTGAACATAGAAATACATAGGAAGAGTCTTTTTAAAATCTTCTCCTTAAGAACCATTGGGCCAGGAAAGATAAAACTTATGTTGAATCATCTAGGTAGCGAAGATGTATGCATCCTGGTAGTGTAGAACGAAAATAAAAGTTTAACAAGGAATATATAGGAAAACTCTTTAAAAACCTTTCCTCAAGAACCTCCGGGCTAGGAAAAATAATACTTATGTGGAACCATCCTAAGGTAGTGTAGAATCAAGTTTGTTCAAATCATGACCCCTTGGGGTAGAGCAGGACCACAACATTCTATGTAAAGTTTACATAGAATATATAGGAATTTTTTTTTTAAATAATCTTTTGGAAAATAGCAAAGTCATGATTGGTCATATTTAAATGGAAGTTTCCTCGGGTAGCTTAGAATCAACTTTGTTCGTATTATGAAGGGTATAGGGGGTAGGGCTGGGCCATAATAAGCGATCAAAGTCTTCTTATATGAAACTATTGGAAAAATCCTCTTCTGTAGAAAGGAAACGCCATAGTTTAGTTATATTGAGATGGAAGCATCACTAGATTGTGTAGATTCACATCTATTCAAATCAGGATTCCAGGGATACGGGAGGGGGGGGGGCACAATATGGATGAATTTTTTTACAAAGGAATGTATAGGGAAAAATCTGTTTAAGAACATCGAAGTCATTGTTATTGATATGGAAGTATTCTCAAATAATTTAAATTTCAAGCCCTACTTTCAATACTTAACTGATGTGTGCCGTTTTCTAGCCAATATACTCAGGTGAGTGATGTGGCCCATGGGCCTCTTGTTGTCAGATAATGTGCTAAGGTGAAGGATGTGGTCTATAGGTTTCTTGTTTAATGAAATTGCAGTAAATGAAAGTTAAAACCAAATTGGTTACATGTAAATGCACAGCCAACTTGGCGTAAAACACCCTGCATACTATTAATCAACCGTGAAAAGTGTTGAGGAATATAGTTTACCTAAGAAAAAATAAGACTTTTCATTGAGACAGATCAAGTCCGCCAGTATAGTTTTTTCTCCTTATTATATTCCCCAAACGAAGTTGGGGGACATATTGTTTTTACTCTGTTTCTTATTATATTATGTCGCCCAGAACAAAGACGGTCGACATATTGCGATTGCACGCATGTTTTTTTTCTACGGGCTGTTTCTCGGAGATGGCTGGGACAATCTTCCTGAAACTTTCCTCAAAGGAGGATCACTGGTTGTAGTTGTGTTGTGTGGTCACTCAGTTTCAAAATGGCTACCGTTGCCATGGAAACCTGCAAAAAGCGACGAATTTTGTCCGAGAGTGTTCTCTCTCGTCCCTAGGACATTCATCATGAAACTTTAATGATTTAATGATTAGTATTTGTCATTGTGTGTGTTGCATTTAAAATATGCAAATTGTCAATAATTGTCATGGAATCAGGGGAAAAGTGAAAATTCTTTAACTTTGATTTTTAAATCAAAGTACTGAAAGTACTGATGCGAGTTGATGGTTGTCCAAGCTTAGCTAATGGATATTGTTATAGTGATGAACAAATGAAAGGAAAGTCTTGTCCAGTTCGGGGCGACATACGCTATTGCTTGCAACAGCAAACTTTCTAGTTATTATGTCGCTCCGAACGAAGTAGGGCGACATACTGCGATTGTACGCATGTTTTTGTTCTCCAGGCTGTTTCTCGGAGATGGCTGGAACAATCTTCTGAAGCTTTCCTCAAAGGAGGATCACTGGTTGTAGTTGTGTTGTGTGGTCATTCAGTTTCAAAATGGCTACCGTTGCCATGGAAACCTGCAAAAAGCGACGGATTTTGTCCGCGAGTGTTCTCTCTGGTCCCTTGAACACTCTTCATGAAATTTTAATGGTGTAATGATTAGTATCTGTAATTGTGCTCATTAGATTTAAAAATTACAAATCATCAATAGTTTCCATGGAAACAGGGGAAAAGTGAAAGTTCTTTAACTTTGATTCTTAAATCAAAGTACTGAAAGTACTTATACGAGTTGATTGTTGTCCAAGCTTAGCTAATTTATGGGTATTGTTTTAGTGATGAAAAAATGAAAGTCTTGTCCAGTTCGGGGCGACATACGCTATTGCTTGCAATAGCAAACTCTCTAGTTATTATTTTTCTTCTTCCTGGGAAATTTTTTTTCACGAATGATCTTGTAAACTACACATCCGCTTAGGTAAAACCTTTTAAGGGTCAGTAGGCATGTAATGTAGATTTCATTTGCCGAACGAACGGAATTTTGCGCGCACGTGCTTGCAAGAGCGCGCGCGTGGAACACGTGAAATGACTAATATAACGGATATTGTCGTAACTTTTCTATTTTTTGATGAATTTTTGAAACTCATAATGTAAGGATACATTGGTAGTATTGGTAAGATGACATAGTCAAAATAGCAAGATCTCACGCGCATGCACGTGCGTTTGGCTCTGATTGGCTGAAACAATGTCTTTCTTGTTTTTTGTCATAATCCTTTGAAATTTTGAAGTTAGTCGTACATTATGAAGATCTACAGCATGATATATAGGAATTTTCATGAAAGCATGCGCAAGCACGTGTATTTCAATCTGATTGGCTGAAACTTTAAATGCTTATAACTTTCTTAGTTTTCAACAAAACGGGATGAAATTTAGAATATGTATAGGTATAATAATTTTCTACATTACTGTCAAGATTGAATGCAAGAACATGTATGCATCCACGTGCGCGCGAAATACTCAAAATGACCAATATATTTGAAAATCAGTTGCATGTATAATTTAAAGATTTTTTTTATTGATTCTCACGATATATAAATATGTTAATGGTTTTGACAACATGTCATGATCATCTTGCATATGCATGAGGTCGCGTACAATGCGTTAAAATAACATATAATTTATATCATTGTAGCTTTTATAATTCTTTGATGAATTTCTTCGATATTGTTCATACTTTAAAAAATGTCTTACAGGAATTGGGGAACATCTGTAACGGTCCCCGTTACAATTAAAACTAGTTTTTTCATAACTTTAGAAATTCATGGAAAATATATACAAATGTAATTGTATTTATTGCATGATCCCCGTGATTTAGTGTTTAAAACCCCGTCCTAAAGAAGAAACGGAATCAGAGCCTTTCTGTCTTTTGGATAATCCTCAAATTTCTCCCGATAAAATCTACAAAATAAATAAAATTGAATAAATCAATCAATCACTTATGTGAGTAAGGTGAATTGGTACATTGCTTTTATTGCCGATGAAAAATGTTATAAGTGAGCTCAATGTCATAAAAAAATTTAAACTTCTATATTCTTTTTGAAATGAAGTGTAGCTATAGTCAGTATATTACCTGTGATGATGGAAAGCCCTAGGGCCGATATTACACAGAGTAAATACAGCGAAGGCCAAAGAGGGGAGGTTACAACACGCCACAGAAAAGCCGATCCACTCCACGATTTCTCCCAGGAAGTTAGCACCAGAGACGTACTCGAATAGGAATCCTGGGGAAAAAATGAGGTTAGCAACATAGACGCTTGCTCGAATAGAAATCTTAGGGATAAAAATAAAAGTTAACACCAGAGACGTACTCGAATAGAAATCCTAGTGACAACAAAAAGTTCAAAGTTGGAAAAATTCAAAGTTCGTGAAGGCCAAGAGAGATACGCAGAAATACATGTAATAGCAAGCTCAGAAATATCTTGTAATAGGTAATGCACATGTCAAATATGAAAGCCCTATCTCTTCTCAATCAAAAGTTTAAAGGAACGAATGTGCCTTCTATCTCTCTCTGATGACCCCGTAGGCAAACGTCAGCCAATGTTTGCACTTTTCTTAAATGCAAATTAACATATATACCTACGCAAATCAGAAGTGAAATAAAATTAATTTTTCAAAAAAGTGTTTCTGTGGAGGTTTTTGCGTATGAAAACTTTAGAAATTGAAAAATAGTTCGTTCCCTTTTATGAGTCATTTAAAAAAGTTAAAACAAACACTCATAAGAATCTTTTATTCAAGTCTTTTTGTTTTACACACCAAGACAGAATCTTGCTTCCTGGAACCAGTGGCGGATCTGGTTGTTCGGTAGGAGTATCCCGTACGTCTGTAGAGCACCATTTACTGAACAGAAGAAAAAGGCGGCCATGAAAGGAAACAAAGGAATGGGTTTACCTCCCACAATCCTGAAGCGGGAAAATGAAAGTCCTGAAATCAAGTTATATATTATTTTTTTAACAAAAATTAATGATTAATGTTATTTCATTTAAGAAAATGACCTTGGACACCCAAAAAACTAGGAACATATACCTGTTTCAATTGAAGATTTCAAAAGACCTTAACACCAAAGAAACATATTCTCCAAAATGTTTTTGTGACATCCCCGTTTGAAAAAAAAGTTAAATAAAAAAAATAAAACACTGACAATTTCTTCGTGAACGCATGATCAATTGATATGTGTAATACCATGACGTGTTAAAAGTTTGCAATAAGAAATTCGTAATTCAGTAAAAAAAAGTTCTCTTGAATAATCTTCAGTATTCTTTTATATTGAACTTTTTTTAAAACCATAAACAACGGACTGACAAAAAAGGCTACTAAGATCTCACCTGTGAAAGTAGTGTAACAGAAAGCATCCACAAAATCATGTGTTCCCATGAATATTCACTAATTCATCATAACGCCACCTTGAGAGAATTATAAGCGGCACAACAAAGGACGGTAACTCCTGTAGGAACCAGGCGAGCTTGGCAGGCAGGAGGCATCCCCACCCGGGACGGGTGTATCTGCCGTAAGGGGCCGTGGTGAACTGAAGCGTGACTAAATTAAAAATCCCCCACAAAACCATCAGACCAGAAACAAATCTCAACGAATCGGAAACACGCGGTCAACTTGTCCCAATATTAAGGTCATATCTTACTTCCTTAAATTTTTTTCTTTCAAAAAGTGGAGAAAAATAACGACACTTTATTTCACAATTAAGTATTGCATTAAACTTAGGATTTTTGAGTGTCATTTAGCTGGTGTGCGAGTCGCATTTTATTAAGATTTTGAAAATGGATGACGTCACTCCCTCCCGCTGCCCGATTGTTTATTCTGAGATAAGGACTCTGATTCGGCTAGCCTAAGTGATTCAGGGTGTTATTTCATAACCACAACGATAAATAAATTCTCTATAGAAATTTGTTGTGTTTGTTTTGGTTCTTATTTCCTATTTATGAATCTGCAGACTATGAGTCTTAATTTACCCCCTCTGAGATACAGGATATACTTTTTTGTTCATAAATGAACTTCGGAGCGATGAATAATCTCTCTCTCTCTCTCCCTCAATGTGTTTGAATTAATGAACTGTGGAGCGATGAATAATCTCTCAGTCCCTCTTTCTCGCCCTTTCCCCCTCTCTCAATGTATTTAACTGTGAAATAGTTCCATTATAGGCCTATGGATAATTTTGCAGAATTCCTTGTTTCATTTCCAGGCCTGTGTGTGTCGAAAAAGTACAGTCGTTAATAACCAAGATATGCATGGACGTGGTGTTTCTTTCTTGCATCAATAAATCAATATAAAAGTCGGGACTTTGAGATCAGAATCAACATTGTTACATGTGGTAAAATCCACGTCATTTCACATGGATGCATAATACTCATAGCAATATTTGAGCTCCTCGCAGGCTTTTTTATAAAACCCCCCCCAACCCGTAAAAGATATTTTAAAATCATATAATTATACATATCAGACATATCAGAATACACGAATGAGAAAAAAACAATCTTGTGTAAATATCTACTTTGAAAAAAAAAGAATTGAAATTTGGTGGAGGAATACACTAAGTACCGGTAGAGCTCCATTGCCCTTTACATCAGTAATAAATTTCTGCATGGAAGACGTGCATACAAGACGTATTTTGTGGTTTATGTTTAATTTTTTTTAGAATAAAAACAAATTGTGATTGATTAAATAGCTGTAGAAACAAGTACATGTACTCAAGAGTTAATACTGTAAAAAACATATTTCAAGGGGTCAAATTTTCGTTGTTTAAGGAAAATATAGTGGTAATGGGGATTTGATTTCGTGGTTGAAGAATTTTTCAGTAATAAGATATGTGAAAAATTTCATTTCAAGGTGGACATTAGAAAATTTGTGATTTCACAGTATCTAAAAATGCTCAAATTTTTGATTGATTTTTGAGACCAGGTTTCTCAACAATCTGTTGGATTTCCCATGGGCGCCATTTGTATCCCGTTATTAGCACACCTATTTTTGAATTCTATAGAAAGCAGAATTTTTTTTCAAAAATTTTTACCTGAAAAGAAGAAACCACTTGCTGTGGCTTTCAGTTGCATTTATTTTTTTTTATGATTGCAAATATATATTTTTAATGATTATCAAAAGCTTGAATTTCAGTTGTCGTTTACAAGACAGATTTAGAGCTCAGAACCTTTGTTATGTAAACTAGACTAGTGTCATGTTTTTGTTATACCCCCCGCTTGAAAAGCGGAAGTGTATATAGTAATCAGTTGTTCTGTACCTCCGTCTTCCGTCCGTCCGTCTATGTCCATCTCTCTCTCTCTCTACCGCTTTGAGGTATGTCTTTATCTGAACTCCTCTCATACCACTGAATGAAATTCGATGAAACTTTGAGAGAATCTTTATAACATCTTGCCATTGTGCACCTCCTATTTTACTTTTTGATCCGTTCACATATTTTGGATTTCCCACAGCAAATTAAAACATGGACACTGCCATTATATTCATATGGGAGGCGGTGTGTGTCATTTAGTGAGCTCATTGCTCACAGTCCCTCTAGTTTACATAGATTAAATTTATTAATATATGTTCTTTCAAAGCAGATTTTTCAATAAAAATAAACTTAATTCTAAATACTTTTAGACAGTTTCTAGTGACTTACTAAATCTTGTAATGTAATAAATATTATATTTTCTATATCAGTAAACAAAAACAAGGCACGAAAAAGCTTCCTTGCAAAACCCTGGGTGACCAAGCAAAACAAAATGAAGAACTAGAAGAAACCAACGAACCATTATAATTCACTGAAAAAGAAAACAAATAATATAGCAGCAATGTGCCGAATGCCTTTGTTAAAGAAAGACGTTTATGGCAACTTTTAGAATTGTTCAATTGTTCTTTCAATGTCAGTATTTATGGTATTTGAGATATTTTTTTGAAAAGAAGAACTCAAGTTAAATGATATCTTGAATGAAAGTATTAAAATTTCCCCTAATTGTAACTATGAATTCACGGCTTTCCCCAAAAAAATTATATTTAAAAACTTATACATGTAAAAGTACCCGGTCGGTAATAGGCAAAAAAAAAACAAAAAAAAAAAAAACTTAATTTGGTCAAAAGTAAAAAAACCAAAATATTTACCTTTTTTCCTCTGATTAAATTGACCGCTAGGAGTTAACGACTCATTCAGTAATGCTCCAGGTTTATGAGAAGTATACTCAGTACATGTATAAATCTATATCCGTCAAAATTGTATTGAATTTGAACTTATTTAAACGGATATGTTTAGTATTTATTACATGATTTAGTTATTAGTATATAAATAAATTATACACTGTGTTAATTATCATTAGTGAAATTCATTGGTCTTTAGATCGCTTACAAAAGAATTTGAGGTGTACAAAAATTATAAATATCTTTTATCCACCCCATTTTTTAAAGTTCGATTTTAAGCGATCGAAAGCCCTGTGATGAAAACAAGCTTATCAAAGAATTGTGGTCCCCCGCTTTCGGTGCCTTTGTGGGTGACATGTCATGGAATATTGTGACAAATATGAACATCCTATCATGTCATTCAACGGTTATCACCAAAGTTGATTTTTTTTAAAATTAGATCAAACATGAAGGTAAAGGCCAGGGGTTAAAAAGCTTGGCATGCTCGGAAATATTTTGTCACAGGTAATGCACATGTCAAATCTGAAAACTTTATCTCTTCTCAATAAAAGTTATAAGGAAGAAATAAAATTAGCAGGTCAAACGTTAAGGTTATAAGGCACGGAGTAAAACTTCATTGCGTATTTAGAAAGATCGTGTCACAGGTCGTAAACATTTTTAATATGTAAGTCTTACAATCTCTTTTTATTCAAAAGTTATGGCCAATTTAGTAATGTTAAAATTTTTGAAAAGTACGTCAGACTTCAAGGTCACGAGGTCAAAATCATAGTGCATATAGAAAGGTCTTGTCACAGGTAATACACATTTTTAATATTAAAGTCTTATCTTTTCTCATTCAAAAGATATGACCAAGATTAAAGTTTTTGTGACAGACGGACAGAAGGACAGACGAATTCATGAGTTTTAATGTTCCCTCGCTTTCACGAAAGCAGGGGACCATTAGTAGGGGTGATTAGGTCTGTTGAACAACAATTTAAAAATGGCTTTTAATTCTCAGTTGCAAATTCTTAACGTTTTCTGTCTTTTTGCTTTTTTCGTCTAGTGTTGTCTTTAGTTGTACTTTTCCTATGACTGTTCTCCCAAATCTTATAATTATTATACGAATAAACTGTACATACGTGTCGGGTACATACACTTATAGAATCAGGGGTGTGGGGGCTGGACCCCCTTTTTTCAAACATTACTTTTGAAAATGTTAATTGAAAGGCCGGTGTAACGTTGAATATTGACCCGAGTTAAAAATTGACCCGGGGTTCATTTTTCAACGTTGAATATTGAACCGGGGTCATTTTTCAACGTTGAATATTGAGACTAAAAGTCGTTGAATTTATACCCGGGGTCATTTTTCAACAGCTTGATAATTTTTTTTCTTACACCTGATGACGTCAACAAGTTGAAAATTGACCCTGTTGAATATTGATCCCACCTCAAAGTTTGAACATTTTTTTTTAGCTGGGAAGTTGTTTTACGGGATTTATCAGTATCACTTTATTTATATTTCGGTTTCAATTTTTCCCTTTTAAAGAATAATAGAAATAAACATATAGTATCACCCCGTGTATATATGTACATTTTGATCAGTGCACGATTTCAGTTATCTTCGCAGGGGCGTAGCAACAGGGGGGCAGCCCCCCCCCCCACTTTTTTACTCAACCTTACCTAGTATCTATAGCAAATTGATTAATTGAATTGGTTGGCCCCCCAGTTTTAGTGATGTGTCGAAAATGAAGTATTAGAATTGGTACTGAAAGTAGTTGACACTGAAAAAAGTTAGCCTCTACCCCCCCCCCCCCCCCTTCAAGAAATAGGATTTTCGACTTTGGGCAACTTTCAACTTTTCCCCCTTTTCTTTTTTTTATTGCTTGTCAACTTTTTCAGGTAAGTAAAAAAAAATTCTCCGGCTGCTCCCCCCCCCCCCACTTTCCGAAACGATGCTACGCCACTGCTTCAAGCATGACAACTTTATTTTTGAAAATACTTTCCAAAATCCATGGCATCCATAAATTACTACAAAACAACGAATAGGTACGACGGCGTATTCGTGCCATTTTAACAATGTAGAATTTTTTATTAAATCGTTTGAACGATTTAATAAATTGTTTGTACGTTTGTACAATTTAATAAATCGTTTGTACAATTTAATAAATCGTTTGTACAATTTGTTTGTTAAATCGTTTGTACAATTTATAAAATCGTTCATACGATTTTAACAAAATAGTTTGTACGTTTTTTATAAATCGTTTGAACAATTTAGGAAACCGTTTTTACGATTTAAGAAAACGTTTGTACGATTTAAAAAATTGTTTGTACGATTTAATAAATTGTACAAACAATTTAATAAATTGTACAAACGATTTAACAAACAAATTGTACAAACGATTTATTAAATTGTACAAACGATTTACTAAATTGTACAAACAATTTATTAAATCGTACAAACGATTTATTAAATCGTACAAACGACTTATTAAATCGTGCAAACGACTTATTAAATTGTACAAACGATTTATTAAATTGTACAAACGATTTATTAAATTGTACAAACGATTTTAACAAAATAGTTTGTACGTTTTTTATAAATCGTTTGAACAATTTAGGAAACCGTTAATTTTTTTTTTTTTTTAAATTCTACATTGTTAAAATGGCGCGAATACGCCGTCGTACGTTTATTATTCGCTGTCATTAATATTTAAAACAATCGGTTGCTAGTCGCTAATTTTGTCATTCCTTTTCGATAATTTTATCTTTTTTATTCGATAATTATTTGGTTTATATGCAATAAAGTTGTTGTTCGAAAACAAACTACCATCATTTCTATTCGAAAAAAATACGATTCCTATTCGATAAACTTCTCATCTTATTACATAATTTTATCTCTATGACCTCCTATGCGATGTTTTTTTTAATTCTTTTTCAATAATTGCCAAGATTGCATTCTGGGAAATATGACAAAATAATCTAGAATTGGTTGTAAACTCAATTAAATAGGAATGTAAAGTTTAACATTATTATCGAATATAAAACATTTTATCACATAGATTGACAAAACAAAATTTGAAAATAATGGGAATAATGCACAAGTTTTCTCTCTTCAAGACTTAGAGACTAGAGAGCAGCATAAATTAAGCTGTTGCTATTTAATATTAAATAAATGTGTTTCGTTTTATACATTGATGGAGTAATTATAGAGAATTAAGTTATTCAGAATACTAATTTATTTAATTGATAATGTCTTGTATCAATTTTTGACAAAGATATCTAATACGTTTTAATATAAAGTACATTTTGATCCTATTTCAAGACTTTAAGGCATTGTTACGTCTCATCAATTACGGAACATTAAAAAATATTATATACAAGTTGTAGTAATTTATTTTTAGAAACATCAAGTCATACTCTGTATTTCCTTTAATTGAGAAATTAATACTATTTCTGTTTTACAAAAAATTATCTCGAGGCAGGGAGGGGGGGGGGTGTCACTCACTTTAATGAAATTTTCTAAAAGGACTCCTGCAATATAGTAAACTATATGATCACAATAAAAAAACATGAAGTCAATATGCATTTCAGATTCTATAAATAGTAACTCAAGTCTTTATGCTGTTATATACTTAATCATGTGATCAAGTTTGAGCCAATCAGAGAGCTTAGAATAAAAGGTGATCTCACCTTTTCGTGCTAAATAGGTGCTATCACCTATTTGAATAAGTGGTACACTGTGTATCACCTATTCGAAAAGGTGATATTACCTAATTGAGTTTCTTACAACAGTCATTAATGAATGCTCCCTATAATACATTGTATATGTTATGCTACACTGGAACGAAGAAAATTCGGACTACCCAGTTTTCATGCATTTTCTACGATTTTCTTGTATACATGATATATAAGTGAAATAAATTAATTTGTAAGAAAAAAAATACAGCTGTTCGACGGGAAAAGGTGATATCACCCAACCGAATAGGCGATATCACCAATTCGAATAAGTGATATCACCTTTTCGAATTGGTGATATCACAAATTCAAATCAAATAGGTTATATCATTTATTGGAACAGGTGATATCACTTATTCAAATAGGGGATATTACTTTTTGCAGTAAATACCAAAACGGGGACTCATACCTATGAATTAAATCACAATAGTGAAAACCCAATCATAAATATGTGTTTTTATGCTGTTGAATTTTGAACCGGTTTCATGATCAAAATTCCACGACCCGGCTCAGTTTTCAACGGATTAGGGTCTAAATTCAACACCTTTGGTCTCAGTATTCAACGTTGAAAAATGACCCCCGGGTCAATTTTCAACCCGGGTCAAAATTCAACGTTACACCGGCTGTCCCCCACTTTTCAGCATAGTCAGTTACTAGTACGAGTAATGTACTGTAAACCAATTATTATACGCGTCATTTTTTATTCGCGTCTGACCGTTAGAGAACTAATCCGCGACGATTTATTTCCGCGAACAAGAGGTCACATTTTTTTCATCTCCACAAGTATTTCTCAAATGTAAAAGTGCCTTATGCCAACTGGGTGATCGACGCTTTCCGTGATCTAGAAAGCCAAAGGGCAATTATTAAAAATGGTTGGGACAGAGCAGGGCTTGGCCATAATTGGCCGTAATTAACATGATTACCGTAACAAGGCTCTCTAAATCGTCTGTGACAACACATGAATAATGACAAAAGCTGATATAATTGACATTTTTAATCATTTTTCGACAAGTTGTTTTAGATTTGCGTTTTTTTTTTTCGTTTTTATTTTTTTTTACTGAATGTTTGTAATTTAAATTTTATCTGCTTCTAGTGCAATAAAGTTCTTCCATATCTGTGATTTGAAGTGTCAGGATCGGTATTCAAAAAGGGGTTGGTAACTCTAATCATAACTTGGGAATTTTAATGAACAACTGGTTCGCGACGATAAATATCCGCGAGCAGAGGTTACTTGCGGAACTCGCGGATATTTATCACACGCGTATAATACTTGGTTTACAGTAGTAGTTTATGAATAAATTCGTTACTTACGGAAGTTGGATTATAACCCAACCTATCCTACCCTGCACGAAATAGAATTTTAAGTTTGAACAATTCCCCATCCCGTTTCATTGCTTGTCATGTTTTTTCCAGATAAGTTAAAATTTGTTCTCTGCCTCCCCCCCCCCCCCCCAACGCTCCCCCCAAACTTCTTAAAAACGAAACATCGTCCTTACATGTAAATTCTCTAACGACGGTCGATCCTGATATTTAAAGTCTTAAACTTATGTTGCCAAGTATATTTTTAGCTTCTACATACATAGCTTTATTAAAATTCAAATCAAAAAATGGGGGTCAGTATGTTTCTTTTGGCGCTACAGTACATTTAATATGACCTTTTTGCACCGAAATTTGTGTCTTAATTAAATATTACATCTTCGACGTTTTCCCCCGAATATTTTTATCCAATTAAAGCATGAAAAGTGAACTCTAAGTCTATTTTTAAAAAAACACTTTTTAAATTGTGACTAAGAAACATTTTTAAATTGCTTCGCATAATCAAGTATTTGATCTTTCGTACTAATAAAATGTGATTTTTCTGGCACTGAAAATTCAATAAGCAAAAAAATATTTTAAAGTCTTAAACTTTTTCTGAATTTAAGCAAATAAGTCAAAGTTATCTTAAATATTCAGAAATTACATCAAGAGTTCGGGGTATATGATGTAAATTTTCAGATATCACTAAAAAAAAGTGTCAATTTTACGTTAAAGTTGGCTCATTTTTTCCCCGGATTTTCAAAATATATTGACTATATTTGTCACACTTCTCTGAAAGAATTCATAAAAAATAATTTAATAGATATTTCAGAACCAGCATAACACATTTCACTGCAAAAAAAAACAGCTTTGTGTGCAACCAGCATGGAAAAATAAGAATCTTAAATTAACAGTACTGTTATAGTTCAAAATGGAAAAAACTGATCATTTTCTTCTAAAAAAAAAAATTTTTCCGCCAAAAAATGTAGTCCCTAGCTTAATTTTTCTTGAATGGAATTTAATCGCGTTTTTTTTTTTATTGAATATAGTTCAATCTGCATTGTAGAATTCAGATTTAATGTTAGAATTTTTAAATGATCCAGAATTTTATAAATAAAGGAGAGGACCAAAAATCCCTTCAAAAGCTCAGGATCGAACGTCCTTAAGTATAATTAATTCGTCAATTTGGTTGCAAGATGGTTATAGAACTAAGAGATATCCACTAAAAAAGGAAAATATATTCATTTTTTAATTCTTTATTAAGTACATTAGTATATGAAGAATATCGGATATAGTAATAAGTTATTGTCGTTATAAAAAAACGTAAAAGAAAAATTAATGAAATAACTTTATAGCAATAAATAAAAATTAAATTAACACAGATGTAAAAATACTTAAAATAGTCAAACAAATCCAACACTTCAAATTGACAAAGTTCATTATTAAAAATATATAATTCTGCCTTTGGTTATAATTTGTCAAAAATTAATTCTAAAAAAAAACCTCATTCTCTGCAGAAGTCCAGTTTTCTCTGATTTATTCTTCATTTTTTTGTTTTTCTTCTGAATTTTCTTCTTCTGAAAAAAAAATGTGTTTAAAAATTAAACTACAAGTATATATTTTATAAATCAAAGGCACCACATCAAGTCACATGTTTTATATAGCGAAAAATGTACTCACGGATAAACAGGATGATCCACACAGGAATCTGTACCAGACAGGTCGTTTGCCTTTGATTATATTGTCATCATCGAAATCAACATTTGTCTCTTCCCTTATTCCATTCATTCTTTCTTTCTCTTGCACATTCTTCTGGTAAGCTTCGTTCTCCACTTCCATCTGTATGTTAATATATTTTCCTAGGGTTTCCTTCCCTTCCTCTACTGTCATCTGTGTGTTTACATCTTTCTCACAAGTATCCTTCCCTTCCTCTACTGCCATCTGCGTGTTGATATCTTTCTCAGAATTATCCTTCCCTTCCTCTACTGTCATCTGTGTGTTAACATCTTTCTCAGAAGTATTCTTCCCTTCCTCCACTGCCATCTCTGTGTTTACATCTTTCTCAGAAGTATCCTTCCCTTCCTCCACTGCCATCTGTGTGTTAACATCTTTCTCAGAAGTATTCTTCCCTTCCTCCACTGTCATCTGCGTGTCAACATCTTTCTCAGAAGTATCCCTCCCTTCCTCCATTGCCATCTGTGTGTTAACATCTTTATCCTTCCCTTCCTCTACTGCCATCTGCGTATAAACATCTTTCTCAGAAGTATCCTTCCCTTCCTCTACTGCCATCTGCGTATTAACATCTTTCTCAGAAGTATCCTTCCCTTCCTCTACTGCCATCTGTGTGTTAACATCTTTCTCAGAAGTATCCTTTTCTTCCTCTACTGCCAACTGTAAGTTAACATCTTTCTCAGAAGTATCCTTTTCTTCCTCTACTGCCATCTGTGTGTTAACATCTTTCTCAGAAGTATCATTCCATTCCTCTTCTGCCATCTGTGTGTTGACATCTTTCTCACACGTATCCTTCCCTTCCCTTACTAACATCTGTGTGTTAACATCTTTCGTATGAGTATCCTTCCCTTCCTCTACTGCCATCTGCGTGTTAGCATCTTTCTCAGAAGTATCCTTCTCTTCCTCTACTGCCATATGTGTGTTAACATCTATTTCAGAAGTATCCTTCCCTTTCTCTACTGCCATCTGTATGTTAACATCTTTCTCAGGAGTATCCTTCCCTTCCTTTGCTGCCATCTGTGTGTTAACATCTTTCTCAGAAGTATCCTTCCCTTCCTCCACTACCATCTGTGTGTTAACATCTTTCTTAGAAGTATCCTTCCCTTCCTCCACTGCCATCTGTGTGTTGACATCTTTCTCTGAAGTATCCTTCCCTTCCACTACGGCTATCTGTGAGTTAACATCTTTCTCAGAAGTATCCTTCCCTTCCTCTACTGCCATCTGTGTATTAACATCTTTCTCAGAAGTATCCTTCCCTTCCTCCACTGCCATCTGTGTGTTTACATCTTTCTCAGAAGTATCCTTTTCTTCCTCAACTGCCATCTGTGTATTAACATCTTTCTCAGAAGTATCCTTCCATTCCTCTTCTGCCATATGTGTGTTAACATCTTTCTCAGAAGTATCCTTCCCTTCCTTTACTGCCATCTGTGTGTTAACATCTCTCTCAGAAGTATCCTTTTCTTCCTCTACTGCCATCTGCGTGTTAACATCTTTCTCAGAAGTATCCTTCCCTTCCTCTACTACCATCTGCGTGTTAACATCTTTCTCAGAAGTATCCTTCCCTTCCTCTACTGCCATCTGTGTGTTAACATCTTTTTCAGAAGTATCCTTCCCTTCCTCTACTGCCATCTGCGTGTTAACATCTTTCTCAGAAGTATCCTTCCCTTCCTCTACTGCCATCTGTGTGTTAACATCTTTCTCAGAAGTATCCTTCCCTTCCTCCACTACCATCTGTGTGTTAACATCTTTCTCAGAAATAGTATCCTTCCCTTCCTCTACTGCCATTTGTGTGTTAACATCTTTCTCAGAAGTATCCTTCCCTTCCTCTACTGCCATTGATATGTTAACATCTTTCTCAGGAGTATCCTTCCCTTCCTTTGCTGCCATCTGTGTGTTAACATCTTTCTCAGAAGTATTCTTCCCTTCCTTTACTGCCATCTGCGTGTTAACATCTATCTCAGATGTATCCTTCCCTTCCCCTACTGCGATCTGTGTGTAAACATCTTTTTCAGAAGTATCCTTTCCTTCCTCTTCTGCCATCTGTGTGTTAACATCTTTCTCAGAAGTATCCTTCCCTTCCTCCACTACCATCTGTGTGTTAACATCTTTCTTAGAAGTATCCTTCCCTTCCTCCACTGCCATCTGTGTGTTGACAACTTTCTCTGAAGTATCCTTCCCTTCCACTACTGCTTTCTGTGAGTTAACATCTTTCTCAGAAGTATCCTTCCCTTCCTCTACTGCCATCTGTGTATTAACATCTTTCTCAGAAGTATCCTTCCCTTCCTCCACTGCCATCTGTGTGTTTACATCTTTCTCAGAAGTATCCTTTTCTTCCTCTACTGCCATCTGTGTATTAACATCTTTCTCAGAAGTATCCCTCCCTTCCTCTACTGCCATCTGCGTGTAAACATCTTTCTCAGAAGTATCCTTCCATTCCTCTTCTGCCATCTGTGTGTTAACATCTTTCTCAGAAGTATCCTTCCCTTCCTCCACTGCCATCTGTGTGTTAACATCTCTCTCAGAAGTATCCTTTTCTTCCTCTACTGCCATCTGCGTGTTAACATCTTTCTCAGAAGTATCCTTCCCTTCCTCTACTGCCATCTGTGTTTTAACATCTTTCTCAGAAGTATCCTTCCCTTCCTCCACTACCATCTGTGTATTAACATCTTTCTCAGAAGTAGTATCCTTCCCTTCCTCTACTGCCATTTGTGTGTTAACATCTTTCTCAGAAGTATCCTTCCCTTCCTCTACTGCCATTGATATGTTAACATCTTTCTCAGGAGTATCCTTCCCTTCCTTTGCTGCCATCTGTGTGTTAACATCTTTCTCAGAAGTATTCTTCCCTTCCTTTACTGCCATCTGCGTGTTAACATCTATCTCAGATTTATCAATCCCTTCCCCTACTGCGATCTGTGTGTAAACATCTTTTTCAGAAGTATCCTTTCCTTCCTCTTCTGCCATCTGTGTGTTAACATCTTTCTCAGAAGTATCCTTCCCTTCCTCCACTACCATCTGTGTGTTAACATCTTTCTTAGAAGTATCCTTCCCTTCCTCCACTGCCATCTGTGTGTTGACATCTTTCTCTGAAGTATTCTTCCCTTCCACTACTGCTATCTGTGAGTTAACATCTTTCTCAGAAGTATCCTTCCCTTCCTCTACTGCCATCTGTGTATTAACATCTTTCTCAGAAGTATCCTTCCCTTCCTCCACTGCCATCTGTGTGTTTACATCTTTCTCAGAAGTATCCTTTTCTTCCTCTACTGCCATCTGTGTATTAACATCTTTCTCAGAAGTATCCCTCCCTACCTCTACTGCCATCTGCGTGTAAACATCTTTCTCAGAAGTATCCTTCCATTCCTCTTCTGCCATCTGTGTGTTAACATCTTTCTCAGAAGTATCCTTCCCTTCCTCCACTGCCATCTGTGTGTTAACATTTTTCTCAGAAGTATCCTTCCCTTCCTCTACTGCCATCTGTGTGTTAACAACTTTCTCAGGAGTATCCTTCCCTTTCTCTACCGCAATCTGTGTGTTAACATCTTTCTCAGAAGAATCCTTCCCTTCCTCTACTGCCATCTGCGTATAAACATCTTTCTCAGAAGTATCTTTTTCATCCTCTACTGCCATCAGTGTGTTAACATCTTTTACAGAAGTATCCTTCCATTCCTCTTCTGCCATCTGCGTGTTTACATCTTTTTCAAATGTATCCTTCCCTTTGCCTTCTGCCATCTGCGTGTTTACATCGTTTTCAAATGTATCCTTCCCTTCCTCCACTGCAATCAGTGTGTTGACATCTTTCTCAGAAGTATTCTTCCCTTCCTCTACTGCCATCTCTGTGTTAACATCTTTCTCAGACGTATCCTTCCCTTCCCCTACTGATATCTGTGTCTTAACATCTTTCTCAGGAGTATCCTTCCCTTCCTCTACTGCCATCTCTGTGTTAACATCTTTCTCAGACGTATCCTTCCCTTCCCCTACTGATATCTGTGTCTTAACATCTTTCTCAGAAGTATCCTTCCCTTCCTCTACTGTCATCTGTGTGTTTACATCTTTCTCAGAAGTATTCTTCCCTTCCTCTACTGCCATCTGTGTGTTAACATCTTTCTCAGAAGTATCCTTCCCTTCCTCTACTGTCATCTGTGTGTTTACATCTTTTTCAGAAGTATCCTTCCCTTCCTCTACTGCTATCTGTGAGTTAACATCTTTCTCAGAACTATCCTTCCCTTCCTCTACTGTCATCTGTGTGTTTACATCTTTCTCAGAAGTATTCTTCCCTTCCTCTACTGCCATCTGTGTGTTTACATCTTTCTCAGACGTACCCTTCCCTTCCTCTACTGTCATCTGTGTGTTAACATCTTTCTCACAAGTATCCTTCCCTTCCTCTACTGTCATCTGTGTGTTAATATCTTTCTCAGAAGTATCCTTCCATTCCTCTACTGCCGTCTGTGTGTTGACATCTTTGTCAGACGTACCCTTCCCTTCCTCTACTGTCATCTGTGTGTTAACATCTTTCTCAGGAGTATCCTTCCCTTCCCCTACTGCTATCTGTGAGTTAACATCTTTCTCAGGAGTATCCTTCCCTTCCTCTACTGCCATCTGTGTGTTAACATCTTTCTCAGAAGTATCCTTCCCTTCCTCTACTGTCATCTGTGTGTTAACATCTTTCTCAGGAGTATCCTTCCCTTCCCCTACTGCTATCTGTGAGTTAACATCTTTCTCAGGAGTATCCTTCCCTTCCTCTACTGCCATCTGTGTGTTAACATCTTTCTCTTTGTTGTCCTTCATGTCCTCCACTGCTCGTTCTTTTTTGTAATTTGACATTTTCCTCACTCTCTCTTTGCTTTTTGTGTCTGTTTTCTTTCTTGTTTCTAATTTCTCCACCTCTTGTTCTATACCTGCCCTTTTCACTTCTTCTCTCTCGAATTTCTGTCTTCTTTTTTCCTTGGTTTTCAAATCCGACATTAACCTCTTCTCAACCTCTACTTTCAACATCTCGACCTGTCTCTTCAGTATTCTTTTCCTTTTGTTTTCCTCCTCTTTATCCATTCTGAATTGTGTCCTCTTCATCCTCGGTCTATCTTCTTTCGGGTCTACGATTTTGTCTGATTTTGTGTTTATTTTATCAGCCTTCTTTTTTAGCATCTCATCCTTTGACTTGAGAGACCCCATATGTTCTTCCTGAAATTTAACCCATCGAAAATCACTGAATGTCATCGTGCAAGTCTCGTGCAAATATTGAGAAACTGTAAAACGTGTATGTTAATATAGATTTTGATTATAAAGTTAACTTTGACCGAATTTTAGGTGTGTTACTACATCTTTACAATAATACTAATTTTAGTTACTAATTCCCAATTAGAATTTTTGCGTTTATTAAATTAAAGGCTTAATATAATAACCAATATAATAATAACCACGTTTAAATCCTTTGTATTTACTTACCACACTTTTAACAGCCCTTTTCCCCAAATTCAGTTTTTCCCTTTCGTTCTGCAAAAAAGAGACATGCATCAATTATATAAAATAAAAGTTTGCCGCTTTCTCGGTGTCGGTAGCTAGGGGCTTGGTGGGTTAGTAAATCTAATATTTCCTGCAAATTTTATTTAGAAAATATTTACTGGTAGATGTCATGTACATGAATCCTGGCTCTAACCCACCAAATTTGAAAAGCAAACTTTGTTTCTGATTTGTCTGTTAACTAACCTGTTTAAGACTTGTCATATTTTTCCTGTGCGCTTTTCAACTTAGAACTCTTGAATCACTATAAGACAACAATTTTCCGCCATTCGTTGTTATAAGTGTTAATATTCTGACGTCATAATTGATATTGTGACGTTGAAAGTATTGTGATTAATCAGTTATCAGTGATTTTCTATCAAAATTGATTTTAAAATTTGAAATACATGTAATAGTATCTAATGAGTAAGTACTAGTAATTTAGAGATGCAAAGTGAATTCCCCACTCCACCCCCAAAAAATATTGGAGGCATTGGATGTCCATAAATTTCTTTGTTATCAACTTATTTGCTTGTAGGTATCTTACTTTTCTTCATTAAAGTCTGTTAATACTTTTATGGTTTCTTAACTGAGTAGCAATATATGCATGTACATGTAATAATGCATATTCACAGTCTTTCAAACAAAATTAATCAAATTTTGATTGCAAAGAAAATAAACTAACACTTAAATCCAATTAATCTCTCTATATAACGAAGTCCTTTTTTATTTTTCTGATTTACACAGAGACAAATATGCTTAAAAATTATAGCACTTTTATTCGGAAAGTCGCGAGTAATCAAATAAATGTAACATATATACTAATAAAGATAAGTTTAAGTACTTGAATGTGGGTGCAAATTTCTTGCATCTGCACGTTCGCACTTATAATATATTCATTGATAAACATTAATATTTAACTTATTCCAAAAAGAAATAATTATTATACTAAAACGCCACCTTCCGAAATTTATGCTTTTAAATTAATTATGGGAAACATTATTTATTCATCAAACATATTAAACCACTAACCTGATTGCAAACATTCATCCTGTTTCGGAAATATTTCCACCAATTAATAATCGGTCACCACAAGACAAGACTCCAACATTTGTTGCTATCTATGGATGTCATGCTACTGTGACGTCACAATGAAGTTAACGTCACATGAGTTTCCCATAAAGCCACAATGCAGTGACGCATCGGAAGTTTTCTCTCCTTCTCCTTGTGAATTTTTATTATTTCTAAAGTTTCTTAATAAAGTACAAAAACAAGCCAGGGGCACAATTAGTGTCCATCGGAATTCCAACAGATTGTAGGAAGACTTCGTCCCCAAATAGTATATAGATATTGATAATCATAAACTCCAACATCTTTCTATTTATCATCTTCAATGAAATGCTGTGTTTTATAACCCCCCCCTCCACCCCGCGCTTGAAAAGTGGGAGGGTATATATACCACTGAGTGAAATTTAATGGGACATTCACAGAATCTTTACATAGTACCTTTGTGCACCTCTTTTTTTTTTTTTACTTTTTGATCCAACACACATTTTGAGGTTCCCACAACAAAACATGGAAACTGTCATTCTTTCTATAATATTGAAGGATATACACAACTACTTTCCGCAACTCCTCTTATACCACTGAATAAATTTAAATGATATACTTTGATTCTTTATCACATAATGCCATTGCATGGGCACCTCCTATTTTACTTTTTGATCTGGTACTTATTAATTCCGGATCTCAAAGAGCAAAACATGTGCTTTGCCATTATAATCATAATATGTAAGGCGGGGGGTGTATTTTATGAGCTCAGTGCTTTTAGTTCATTTATGAGATTTTTAACAAACTAATTTTGTCGAAGATCGGATATATGATGAACTATTCCTTAATTATTTGTCTAATTTGAAAACAGATCACAGAAATGAATTTAGGCTGTAAAAAAAATTCCCTTGTGTAGAGAGAATTATTGTCTCTCGGTCAGAGGTATCAACACTGTCAGATATATACATCTACATATAATGCACTCACATAATGCAAGTACACTTTTAGAGCTAGATTGATTCAAATTCAAATCTGTCCACCGAGAAATAAATTACCTGAAATATTCATGCAAATTATCTCTGGGACGGAATTGTCATCGTTTTAAAAAATTCATTCTTCTTTTTTTTCTTTCAAGAAATGCGAATTACAACACTTAAAAACGATAGCAGTTGACCTTCTATCGGGTGTTTTTAGTCAGGAGATTGAATTATTTAATTATATTCATTCTTTAAAAAGTTTTGTGCTCACGTAAAAATAATCATTTTAATTCAAGTCAGAAATGAATTTTTAAAATGCAAGTTAACTTTTCTTTTCAGATCCGTGAAACGCTTGACGATTCAAATTTCTAAAATGATTTTGATTTTTAGAATGTTAGTATATTAGTTCAAATATCTAAATTTCAAAAACTCAGTTGTATTCATTTGGTACGTGTATATTGAAAATGTAATGTTTTAGAACAAAAATCTAAATTTTCAAAGTGGTTTACAATCAGGTTTTAAAATTTTAGTATTTTTAGATTTTTACCTTAAATGTTCAAATTTCAAATTTCAAAAACTAATCTTTGCACTTAACATTTTGAGTTTTTAATCTACCGTTTGTTCAGAAAGTTTACGCTTAACAATCCAAATTTCACATCTTTCCCGACCCAGTTGTTCTTGAGAAGATTTTTAAAACATACCATCAGTTTTTCCCTTTTTCATAATTATCTCCCCTTGAAAGAGGATGAGACCCTTCTGACATTTAAAAGTTGACAGGCAGACGGACGTACTACAGACAAATTGTGATCAGAAAAGCTCACCAGAGCTTTCGGCTCAGATTAGCTAATTTTGAAATAAATTCAATAACTACCAAAATATTTCTTTTTAAAAATCTTCATTGGTTGCTAAAGAATGGGTGGACTTAACGCCCTATTTTGGATCTTTTTGCGATTCCTCTACCAAGCTTAAAATGAAGTGAATCCCAAATATATTACGAGCAATGGAAAGGGCTACATATACTTGGTTATACTGGGTGGAACATTTGTGCTAAAACAATGCCCTGTTGTCATGTATCAACATTGAAGCAACGATACACGAGTGTCGTCTTCCGGAATTCGACATGTACCCGGAGTGGTTTTTATGTCACACAATCAATATTTATAGGAGGCGGGGCTATCGATCGGCGTCATTGTTGACATCTCTCTCTCTATCCTTCTCTCTAACCAAAAATTCGAATACGTGTTTGGCATATTACAGCGATGTCAATATGAAAATATTTTAAAAATGTGATGACACGCAAAATTAAAACAATATATAATTTGCTAAATTCTGAAAAAGGCAACAAAACACGCTCAAAGACACGAGTTAGATCGAGGTCAGGTTGAAGAATACAATGTAACTGTTTTCTCGAGTACACTCGCAGGTGGACATCACGTGATGAATTGTAATATTTAACAGGTCAATCGCAGTCATAACAATGGAAGCTAGAAGTTTATTTTGAACATGTTTTTTTGTAAAATTTAGTGTGAGCGCACGTTTGTCGGAACTTCTCCTTTAAATATAACATTATTTTGTTCAATATACAACTACAGTTTTCGTAAGAACAGCCGACAAACATGCGCTGACTATGTGTTCAGACAATGGAAAACGCGTGACCCTGATTATCTATTGATATTCAAGAAATCTCCATGCACCATGCCTTCGATATTTATTTAGTTTACTTCGAAAAGATCGTTTTAAATTCACGTCCGTACCATGAATACACAGTTAAGATATCGGGGGTTTATATGATGGAAAAAATAAAGATTTCATGAAACTTAAATTTACGACATTTTCTCTGGCCAGTTAAGTCCACCCATTCTTTTTAAAATCAAATTTCATTCCGGATTTACCGATGTTTGTTCATGTGTTATAGTGACCAAAGATGGCGTCAGAACCGAAGAGATGTAAACAAGTTTGCTCAAAATCAGAAGAAACCTTTTGTTACAATGAAATTGAAGGCTGTCAAAAGTTCAATTCTAGGGAAGGAAGCTCTGCAGGTAAAGATGCTTCAAACTTGTCAAATCCAGAAAGCGACACTGACAGTGAAAGAAGTAAACCGAACTCCATTCAGCAGGGTTCATTGCAACTCAGTTGTGATATTGGTCATGACTTAATGGTTCCCCAAAACCTTAGTGACTGGGAGAGGAAACACATTGAAAACCTGAATATTAACGTATCTTTTCGACCAGATATATCACCTTTGGACCTCATACACAGAAAGATTCAGAAAACAGGGCTTCAAATCTGTGAGGTACGAAGGCTGGCATCAGATGAAGGAGAGGAAAAAATTGCGTCTTTAGTTAAATATGTCCAACAAAGTAAATTTATGGAGATGTTAGCTAAAATAAACTATGTGACTTTTGGTGATCTAAGCAGGAAATCTTTGAGAGGTTTAGACATGTATGCAGATGATAGATACCAGTGTTCGTTTATACCTGATGAAGTACCAGAGAGTCTTAAATTATGGTTTTACAGGTAAAAAATTTTTCCCCAACCTAATATTTGCATCGCGAAAACTTAATTTAATATAATTACATGAGACTGTCTGCTCGTGAAAATTGTATTCTCGCTTATGTTTGTGTTTCAAAAGATAATATATAACAGATACCAGAGCTCACGAAAATTTGTCTTGCTAATACTAACATGCGAAAATAAGCTGTCACGAAAATATAGTGATCTACATGAATATTTGAAGTACCTGCACAGATATGTAGAAGTTACATTGAATCTTGAGCGTACTCAGTTATCTCAAAGTTTTAAGTCGGTTTCATCAAGTTCTAGATAACAGTGTAATAACTAAAGATGAACTATGAGAAAGTTAAACTATTACTTAAGGTGCTGGCATGCGTTCAGCCGTGACTAATCCCCTCATTGTCGTAATTTGAGTGAAAGTGTCAAACTTGTGTAAACAAAGGATTTACATACGGAAGGTAGAGGTGTGAACAAGACAATTATTATGAAAATCACTATGATAGGCGAAATTTTTGTATCAGATAAAACGAAAATCCAATATTTTCCTATCAGAATATCAGGTGAAATTATTAATGAATATATAAGAAATGGTTTTGTGCTCTGATATTGTATCAGATTAGCCGAAATATTCGTTTAACCGCTATCAGATTAAATGGAATCCACTGTATTGTGAACATTCTGAGTTTTTTTTTTTTTGGTAGATTTCACACAAATGGAAAAATGTTTGCACACATTTTACATAAGATGGTTGAAAACAAGGAGGAGGGCATTCAGAATCATCAATGTCATTTCCAGCATCTATTTGAAACATTAACAAATATGTTTGGAATGTATAGTTTTGTAAGGTATGTTCTGTTTGGTGCTTTTATCATGTTTGTCTGTATGACAGACATGATTTTAGAAATGTTTTAATGCCACATCTTCAATATAGCAGGGGCATACATTATATAAAACACACTTATAACGAACTGCCTGAGATGAAGACTCTGCTTCTGACATGTTATATTATATGTTAGGTTCTCAATTATATTTTAATGCCTTGAAAAATCACTTCACTGCAAGCCTCAATTTATTATAAGCATATTTGCTATAAGTGTGTTTTACTGTATACATGTATTATTATATCCCCCGCTTCAAAAGTGGGATGGTATACTGTAATCGGTATGTCCGTCCGTCTAGCTGTACGTCGGTCAGTCTGTCTGTTACACGTTGGGGTACCCATCTCTTATCCGCAACTCCTCTTATACCACTGAGTAAAATTTAATGAAACTTTCACAGAATCTTTATTACATATTGCCATTGTGCACCTCCTATTTTACTTTTTGATCCGGCACGTATTTTAGGTTTACCATAGCAAAACATGGACATTGCCATTATATTCTTACCTATGATGTGAGATGTGGTGGCTTCTGAATAACATTAGATACCATGAGTTATTCCTCTTACATGTTACCGTAAAACAATATATATAGCAAAACATGGACATTATGGGAGGTGGGGTGTATCATTTAGTGAGCTCGTTGTTCACAGTACCTCTAGTAGATTGTTGTGTTGGTATTCCATCCTCCTGTCGTAGTGTGTTTTTAGGTTAGATGAAAAGAACCTATTCAAGATATACTTTTATGTAAACTTATCACTGTTACATTATTTAGAGAGAATTTATCGACTTTGTCCTAATTTTGTTCACCTTGATCTTCCTGATGACAATTTATTGCATAATAAAGTCAAAAAGCTGTTCAAGTTATTTTCAGGAAACTTTATAAACACAGTAATACAAATTTTATTACATTGCATTGAACCCTGAGTGGGACATTCATGTCTTATGTGTCATTAAAAATTCACCAAAATAATGCATGGCTGCTTTTGTTAATGTATCATCTTCCATGATTTGTAAACTTAACTAACCATCATTATACATGTACATGTATTGTACTGCATAGTTACAATTAACCATATTAAAAACTTAACAATAGGTTTCATTATCTTTTTTTATTCATTAGTTTAATGGCTTGCTCTGAGATGCAGAAAATGAATATCAAGGATACTGAAGTTTATGGGGCTCCAGATATTGTTTACTCTAGTCACTGTTGGAATGAAATGAGAAATTCTCATACAGTGGCCACTTGTGAGGTATTGTAGAGTTTGTTTATTTATTGGTTATGGTAATTTTTTACTTCATTTAAGGAATAACTGTCTTATTTTTCGATTTCATGATGTGATCAATCGATTGGGTTGTGTGATAATTTGCATAAACGCCGAAGGCATTTATGCATGAAATTACCACGCAAGCCAATCGATTGATCATCGTCATGAAATTGAAAAATAAGACAGTTATTCCTTATATTTACATGCTTTGATTCCGCCAATCCACATGCTCCAAGGCCTGCTTTTGTCTAGCTGTTTGTTCCACCCTGCACGTGTTTTTTTTGGAACCGCGCCAATACATTGATGGGGAAATAAAGTACATTTACAATTTGTAATTTTATCTCAGACAAAGACATTGGAAATGTAAATATTAAGATACATGTATAATTATATCTTCTTACCTCAAATTTGATGGGAGCAATTATATGATTCAATGATTAAAGATACTGTATGTGTACTTAAAATGCAGGCTTCATATTTTAGCAGCTTTGGTGTGGACAACAATGTGCTAATTCATGAATACCATTAAAAAATCATCTGTACATACAATATAAAGCGGGGACATGGGCATAGCGCTGATTTATGAATGCACTAACCACTACCCAGTGATTGCGCTAAATTTTTAATGTGCCAATTTATGTACACGTCCAGTATTCCTTATTGTTTATTCTGTCCCATGACAAGGTTCTTCCTGTGTTATAATGGTTACAAGGGGTTGGAAGTTGTAAATTTCTAATAAATTTGTACATACAATATAAAGCGGGGACATGGGCATAGCGCTGATTAATGAATGCACTAACCACTCACTACCCAGTGATTGCACTAAATTTTTAATATGCCAATTTATGTACACGTCCAGTATTCCTTATTGTGTATTCTTCTGTCCCATGACGAGGTTCTTCCTGTGTTATAATGATTACAGGGGGTTGGAAGTTGTAAATTTCTTATAAATTTCGTTTGGAAATTTACACTGCTATGTAAAAAAAATATTTTAAACTTTTTTGAATAAAAAACATCCAACCCCTTTCCCTCCTTAAATATTGCGTAAACCCATTTAAAATGAAAAGTCAAATAATTTTCCACTTAATTTCATTCACTTGTAACATTTTCAGGTGGAGAGAGAAAGACCTTTGTTAAAAGACCACCAAAAATCTCAATCTCCAAGCAGGAAAGCACAAGAAAAATTGAGGAAGCGGTTTTCAACAGAAGAAGTATCTTCATCATCAGCTTCTTGCTCTACAACAGTGGAAAAAGATTTTCCAACCCTGTCAAATCAACTTATTGGGCAACATGCAGGAAAATTGTTGGTGAATTATAAGCAGTCAAATAGATGTAATTTGATACTTGGTTTGGTTGTCCAAGAGACACATGTAAGTTTTTTTTTTGGATTTCAAATTCAAGAGATTTTTGTATGAGCAATTCGAAAAAATCTTAAGAGACCATAAAATTTATTGAAATTCTTCATTATATATTTGTTTCCATCTATATCTTTTTACTAATATTTCCTTTGCAAATCTGATTGCAGTAGATAATCCTAGTCCTTTTTTAATTTTAAATTTCCTATTTTCCCCTCTTATTTAGGTCACATTTACTGCACTAAAAATGACAGATGACCAGTTCCAGAGGATTAAAGATGGAAACATCAATCGCTCAGAAAAGGATAGACCTACTTTCACTTTTACAAAAGCATATGATTTTCTAAAAATAGAAGACTTGGAGAACATGATAGAGCCATTGATAAGATTAGGTCTAGAACAGCATAAGTGAGATTTGGAACCTTTGAAAATGGAAGTTTTGATTATCACCTTGGCATTTGTCTCCTTTCAGACAAAGAAATATACAGGACTCTTGTGAAGATTTTTTAGCTCACCTCGACGAAGTCGAGATGAGCTTATGCTATACCCCCGGCGTTGGCGTCGGCGTCGGCGTCGGTGTCGGCGTCGGCGTTAGCGTTGGCGTCCCAGGTTAAAGTTTTAGGAGCAAGTCCATTCCCAAGTAACTTTAAGCCCTACCTGAACCAAACTTGCATGGATGATTCATCTAGGGATGTACACTACCAGACTTGCTTCGGATGCTGGATCTGATCTACATTTTCTAGATGAGTGATCTGGTTAAAGTTTTTGGAGCAGGTTAAAGTTTTTGGAGCAGGTCCATTTCCACAGAACTATAAGCCCTACCGGGACCAAATTTGCATGGATGATGCATCTAGGGATGTACACTACCAGACTTGCTTCGGATGCTGGATCTGACCTACATTTTCCAGATGAGTGACCTGGTTAAAGTTTTTGGAGCAGGTTAAAGTTTTTAGAGTAGGTCCATTCCCAAGGAATTATAAGCCCTACCCAGACCAAACTTGCATGGATGAGGCATCTAGGGATGTATACAACCAGACTTGCTTCGGATGCTGGATCTGACCTACATTTTCCAGATGAGTGACCAGGTTAAAGTTTTTGGAGCAGGTCCATTCCCAAGGAACTATAAGCCCTACTCGGACCAAACTTGCATGGATGATGCATCTAGGGATGTACACTACCAAACTTGCTTCGGATGCTGGATCTGACCTTCATTTTCCAGATGAGTGACCAGGTTAAAGTTTTTGGAGCAGGTCCATTGCACAGGAACTATAAGCCCTATTTGGACCAAACTTGCATGGATGATGCATCTAGAGATGTACACTACCAGACTTGCTTCGGATGCTGGATCTGACCTACATTTTCATTCCCAAGTAACTATAAGCCCTGTTTGGACCAGACTTGCATGGATGATTCATCTAGGGATGGACATTACCAGACTAGCTTCGGATGCTGTATCTGACCTATATTTTCATTCCCAAGTATCTATAAGCCCTAGCTAAACGAAACTTGCATGGATGATGTATCTAGGGATGGACACTACCAGACTTGCTTCGGATGCTGGATCTGACCTACATTTTCATTCCCAAGTAACTATAAGCCCTAGCTAAACCAAACTTGCATGGATGATGCATCTAAGGATGGACACTATCAGACTTGCTTCGGATGCTGGATCTGATCTATATTTTCCATACAAGAGACTTGGTTAAAGTTTTGGCTACAGATCAATCCGAATGAACTTGAAGACCTTGATATCTGCATTATTAATAGTTATGAATATTTGTTTACACTATACATATACATATTTTTCACGCTACAGGCTTAGAAATGTGTATATGCCATGTAAGGGGTTAAACACAACTTGCAAGAAAATTGTTGTTGGGATGAATACTAAATATTAAGAAAATATGATGTGAGATTTGCATTACTTAAACTGATAACATTCGTCGAGGTGAGCTTCGTAATCTTTGATTACCTATGTTTATGAAATGGAAAAAAATTCTGGAGTTAGAGTTTCACTGGAGTTACTACTACAACCGACATTAAATTCAGCTGCAAACATCATGAATATATGCTGTGATAATACTGATATTATAGATTCAGCTATTTGATGTCATTTACAATTGTTTTGTTTTTTTAATAAAAATGGAATTTGTAAATTTACTTACCTTGTCATTGGTCATTTGCAAAATTATTTTGTTAAAAACTTTCTGATTGTACACACAAGTACTCTGAAGTTCATATTAGAAAGATGCCCAAGTTTCTGATGGACAACATTTATGTGGTTTTTGGAGACCAGGTCATCTGAAAATCTATTGGAATTCTCATGGGTACCAATTGTGCCCTGTTATTAGTAGATCTGTTTTTGTATTCAGACATACAAAGCAGAATTTGTCCAAAATCTTATAGAAGAAAAGAATTAAACACTTGCTGTGGCCTTCAACTCGACATTTAGATATCTGGACGACACATTGTCAATTAACAATGGTTATTTCCATTCTTATGCCTATACAATATATCTCTGTGAGCTTGAAATAAAAAAATATCTGACATATCTGCTTCCAACTAAATTGTATTTTAAGGTCACTTGAGTAAACTCAGGTGTCTTATTGCTATCTGTCATCTGATTCTGAATACAAAAACAGAATCTACACACATAACTTAATTAAAAAATCAAAACAAACAAGATATGTCTTTGAAACACTGAACCCGGTGGCAACAAATTTCGAAAAAAGCTATTTTTAGCATATAGGTCACAGTCAAGGTCACAAGGTCATTAACCTTGTGTCATTTGAAAGAACTTGATTAGTGGAGTATGCATACCAAATATGAAGTCTCTATCACCGAAATGCTATTTTTAGCGTATACTAGTAGGTCACAGTCAAGGTCACAAAGTCATTGACCTTGGTATCATTTGAATCAGCTTATACATGTAATTAGTAAAGTTAGCATACCAAACATGGAGTCTTTGTCTCTCATAGTTCAAAAGTTATGGCAAAGGTTTAAGCTGACAACAGGCAGATAAACAGACAGACAGCACAAAAACAATATGCACCCCCGATCTATCGATCCAGGCGCATAAAAAGGGGGTTATAGTGCGCTTCTATTAGCACTACGGAATAATTTATATGACCCTTTTTATTCAAATGAATTATTGGATCAAACACTGTCTTTTGAGCTGGATCGATATATCGAGGGCGTAAATTTGTTTTCCTGTCTGTCTGTTTGCTTGTTTGTCTGTTTATCTGTTTGTTTGTTTGCTTGTCTGTCTTTTGTCAACTGTAACCTTCTCCATAAGTTTTGAACCGTGAAAGATAAAGACTTCATATTTGGTATTCATACGCCACCAATTAAGCTCTTTCAAATAACATCAAAGTCAATGACCTTGTAACTTTGATTGTGACTTATATGCTAAAAATAGCTTTTCAGACTTTGTTGCCGCCGGGCACATAATGTTTTACAAACACATCTTGTTTTATCATAAAATAGTCACATTTAAAAACTGTGACAAGAAAAATGTTATCCAATTACTTCACATAGTAAATTATTTGACCTTTCTATAATCAAAAAATGTTATTTTTCTAGTGTTAAAAATTTTTGAAATCATTTGAAATTTATGACATTTTAAGCAGAGTGGTTGAAAATATAAATGAAATAAAGTTGGGGATATATTAATATTACTAATAGTCTTATATTTAGGTATTGCTAAAATAGTGCAAATTTAAAGCTTAAATTGGGTTATTTATTACAAGTACTTTCACATGTTTCACGATATGTTTGATATATTTGCCAAATATCATGATAGAATTCATGAAAGTTTATTCAATATATAGGACTCTGAAATTATTCCGTGTACAAGCTGCATGAAAAAAAAGGAATCCAAAATTAACAATTACTGAATACTTTGAAAGAGGAAAATTGATTTTTTTTTTTTTTATCTTAAAAATCACCTTCCGCCACTAAATACCGGTATATAGTTCCTCACTAGAGGTTTTCCGTATGGACTTTAATCACGCGGATTTAATTGAATATAATTCAATTAGCATTAAAGAATCCAAATTTATTATAAGAATTGAAACATTATGTAGAATTTTTTAAAAATAGAGGTCAAGACAAAAATCTGATTTTGTCTTGATTTAAAAAAAATATTTAAAGAAAGATCATTAAAACGGATTTTCCGTTATTTACATCTTTGCATTAAAACTGATCAAAATCAATCAATTTTTCAACTGATAGCAAAAAGAAATTAAATTGTAGAATAAACACAATATAAAGTCTGATAAATTAAAACTTAAAAATAGATTTTTTATCTAAAGGTGCAAACAACTTTTTTTTAAATGAAAAAAAACATTGTCTAAGGATATCATCAAACAATGAAAACGTATTCAATATTGTGTAGATGTTTGAAATGCTTAAGATACAACTTACAATGCTCACCATATAATTTATCTTCTTTTTCATCACGCTTGTTGATCTTGAAAAAAAAGAATTAACAACTAGTAAGGATTAAATATGTTTGAAATCCTGCTATTTTCACTGAAGTAAGAATATAGTTTAATTAATCTCCAAAGGAAAAAAAACGAAAAAAAAGTTTGCAAACGAAAGGACTTGTTTCAATGAATACGAGGGTTGATCCAAAAGTTCGTGGAATTTCTTAATATTTCATTCATTTATAAGTCAAATTGGTTGAAAATTACAAATGAGAATAAAGACACTTGTTGAATATTTTAAATTAAAAAATATCTTAAATATTTGTGATAGTAACTCTATGGCAGTTGCCATGGAAACGGATGTATGGAAATGCGGGGGAGACATCAACGCGTTTATTATCATTTTAATTCTTAATACTTGAAACAAGACCTTTCCTTGAATATTTATTTACCTTTTGACCTAGACTTAAAACACTTTATCCTTTGGCAGTAACTTTTGAAGAATAAGAGCTAGGGCTTTTGAATTTTGCAGGTCAATTTTTTTGTGACTAAACCTTCTTTTCAATATCAACAATTTTGAGTTTGACCGTAAAGTTTGGCTTTTTTGTTGAAAAAAAACACCCTTTAACCTTGACCATAATATAACAGTTGGTGCCAGAGCTTTTATATTTTACATGTGTGTTTCTTGTGAAAAGTCCTTTTCTTAGGTGTGTTTGATTTTATCTTTGACTTTGACCTTTAAAAACATTAACCTTGGTCATAACGGTTGGTGTTTGATCTTTCATCTTTAAGAGGCATACGTACATATCCGTAATATTTTTATCTAATTTCTAATTGTTTTTAGAACACATTGTTGAGTGTGTCCCTTCGTATACTGGAATATGGCAGATCCTATGATTTTCTGTACTTGAAAGTTTAAACAAGTCAAAGGTTGAAAGATCTGGCGAATATTGTTGGTGTGTCACTGTGACAAAACATTAACTTCCTGTTTATCTCCAAATGTTTTTTAGACTCCTCCAGAAATTGAACTGCCTCCCATATAAGAATTTGAACACCAAGACCACTAATATTTCAGA